GCAAGGGTGTTTCCTTCATCTTCAGTATGATTTAAATTCTTTTACATTCAAACAAACAAAATATCAAAAACTATTCAAAACTATATTCAGATTTTAGTCCAATGCTTACTTATTTATTAGTTATTAATTACATATGTTTTTGTGCTATTAAGTGAATTTTTCCTGGGTATTGGTGGAAAATGAAATATTTTGCTGATTTTATCACTTCTATGGTTGATAAAGCAGCAGAATTTCTTAAGTGTGTCAAGGTAATATCTCTTATTTCTGTGTACTTCATCAAAACTTACTCATTCTTCCCTTATTAATACTAATAGTTGGGATGTTATATATCATGTACAAAGCTAAACACTTTGTATGCATTCTCTTTTTAAATTCTTATTCACGTCTTATCAATTACAGTTCTCAAAAATTAGTAATTTGCTTAATGTGTGTATCAAATAGTGGAACAGTTTTCAAGTGTGACTCTTTTATAACTTTTATGCTATCTCTGGATAAAGAAAATCAACTCTAAGCTTAAGAACACTTCTACACACTCCAATTGATAGTAATAGTAGAGTAATGGTATATAATTGAAGGCCTTTTTTATTAATGGGGAAAGAATTAATATTTTTGTAAGTTGTTGAATTCTCTTTATTCCACTGGGGCAATATTTACAGTTACTCAGCAAACAACAAGTAAAGATAGAAATTATGAAATGCCAATTTAAAATTGTATTTTCTATCCTTTAAAATTACTCCTTCCCATGTCAAAAATCTAAAATTTTTGTGGTTTGAGTGTGGTAAATGTTAAATTATTCTCATCATTTAAGAAAATTTTTTGATGTTTCATCTATTAGTTTTTCTTACCCACAATAATCTAGAAGACACAATAAAGTCATGTAGTCAATTATTAGAATAGATGGATACATTCATATACACACAAACACATCTAAACACAAAAGAGAGGCATACTTACAAGTCAATGGAAACAAAATATTCTTACGGTAGTTTACATATGAAGCATAAAATACTAACACATGTTTCAGGTTTATATAATTAAAGGCAACTAAAGACATTTGTATCACCAGGCCAAGATTTTAGAAAATCAGAGCAATAAATTGAGAATAAGATGTTCATTTAGTTAATCAAAACTTCAGAATTGATCCTTAATATGTCATATTTTTTGGCTCTCAGAAGTTCATTCCTATAGATTTTAATTATTCTAAATTTTCAGTTACCAAATAAGAGAGAATGTTTTCAAGAACTTCTCTAGGAGCTAAGAATTCCCAAGGAGAACAACTAAAGAAAACACACTGTACTAACTATTATGACTTATATCAAGATGTTCCCCCACCCCAAACCCTCATGTGCTCATAGATGGAGTTTTTCAGAGCTGGCTGGATCTAAGGTGTGTGACGCTGCTATTAAAGGTGTTTGATAATAAATTAGTCCATTGATTGAAATTAGGGTAGTTCTGGGTGGATTACCCAACAGACTGGTAGCCTAGATGGCATAAAAAGCAGGCTGTGCCTGCTGGCTTGTGCCTGCCAAGCCATGGACTGTTTCTCCTCTGTGATTCCTCCCTGCGATGCCCCTCTGCCTTGGAGTCAGCTGATTATGGACTGAAACCTCTACAAATTGTGAGCTGAAATAAACATTTCCTCTTTTAAATCTGGGTGTCTGTTATTTTGTCTCAGCAATGAAAAACTTAAGATACTAACTAAAAATCTACTCTCACCAGTAGACCTTACATTTATCAGAGAAACACATAACTGTAAGACACTGGAAATCTCTTAACTCCATGAATTTGCGACTTTCTGAGGTGGCTGTTCCCTATCTCAAACCACAAAGAAGATAGAATCTTCAGAATTGAGGGCATAAGAAAGCATTAGAGACTAATATTATATTTAAAAATAAGTAGGGGAATATCTTTACTTTTATTCAGAATTAAAACTTTACTGAGATGACCAATACAGTTTTTGGCGTATGTGTGGTTAATTCTAAAGTTAGAGTTACTTCTGTAAGTTTTAGCTAACGGTTTGCTTATTCTACTATTTAAAGTATTTTTAGTTTGTAGAAAGAAATCCATATCTAATAAAATGTAGAAAATCTCCAAGCCATACAATCTTTTGGAAGTCTGCTATTACAAAGCCTCAAAGGGTTTAGTAAATTGAAGTGAAGGGAAAAAGGGACAAGAATGAGAATCTTGTCAAAATACCACATGGGAGACAGGATCGATGTATGTGTAAATTGTAAACATTCACAGGGGGAAAAATACTTTGACAAGTCCTCCTTTGCTAGGATATGAAAATAGAGCATGTTATTCTCCAGCTAATCTCTTCCTATAGAACAGAAATATAAAAAAGAATGAGTCTTAATTGATCTTTTCATCAAAATTGCTAAATTTTGTGTTTCTATTCATGAAGCCAGATAGCTTTTGAAAACAGACTGGGGAAACAGAAAATTTATTTCCCCCCCAAAACAGAAAATATTCATCTGAAAAATTATAAAAGTTAATTTAAAAAGCCACAATAATAAGCATTATTACTATACACAATTTTAAATAAAAATGCATACAATTTGAGTATGGCTTGCACTACATTACAAAAATAAAAACAGGTCTATTTCTCTTCATGAGTTTACTTACAATGAGGAGACACCAAATGTCACTTAATGAGGGAATACTAAGACAGTGGTTCTCCAAATTTTTGGTCTCATAATACTTTCAAAAATTGAGACCATTAAAAGATAATTTTATGTTAGGAATATATGGTTAAGTTATTATAGCTCATGGTATATTTCAAAGACACGTAGTACAGTGTTTCTTCTTCTTAAGGCTATTCAGTCTTATGGTTCATATGAATTTTAGGATATTTTTCCTATTTTTATGAAGAATGTAATTTCATCAATATTTTATAGAAACTGTAGTAAAATTTAGGTCAATTTGTGTAATATGGCCATTTTAACAGTATTGATATTTCAATTCATGAATACATGATGCATTTCCATGTATTTTTCTCCTTCAAATTTTCATAAATGTTTTGTTATTTTAATAGCAGAGTAATTTGAATTTTTAAATTTATCTTTAAATATTTGATTTTGTAGATATTGTAAATAGAATTTTAACCTATATTTCAGTAGTTTGTTTTCTAGTGTACAGAAATATTGCTGATTTTGTATGTTGATTTTGAATCACATGCCTTTACTAAAATACATTATTCAGTTCAACAGAATTTTTGGTGGTCTTTAGAGTTTTGTGTATATAAGAAAATGCCATCAACAAACACTAGTACTACTAGCTTTACAAATTTTATGTCATATGCATATATCTATCTATCTATCTATCTATCTATATATATATCTTTTACTAGGTGTTTTGGTGTGTTTGTTGGAAAATCTAGTCTTGTGTTGAGTAAAAGTGGTAAAAGTTAGCATTCTTTATTTTTTTCCAGAGCTTAGAAGGAAATATTTCAACTTTAACATCCAGTGTGCTATTTTTAGGTTTCTTAGATGTGTAATGTACTGTGTTTGTATACATTCTTTCTACATCTAATTTGTTGAAACTTTTTTTTTGGTACCAGGGATCGAACTCAGGACCTTGCGCTTGTAAGGCAGGTGGTGAAACCACTAAGCTAAATCTCTGGCCGGTAATTTGTTAAAACTTTTAATCACATAGGATATTAAATGCTTCCAAGTACTTTTTTCTGTTACTATTGAAATAATCATATAGGTTTTGTCCTTCATTCTATTAATATGAGTTATTAATTTGTATATGTTTAACTATCCTTGCACTTGTGATGAAATACACTTGATTGTGTTGAATAATCTTTTCAGTGTGCTATTGAATGAGAATATTTTAACTATGTTTCACAGGAATATTAGCTTGTGGTTTTCTTTTCCTTTTTTATTATTTTTTAGTTGTATCTTTGTAGGGTTTAACAGTCATTGTTATGGTAGTTTCATACATTGTGAATGCCTTCCTCTTTAATTTTGGGGAGAGTTTGAGAAGAATTTAAAAGAATTCATTCTTTTAAATTTCTTGGAATCCAGTAGGGAGGCCATCAAAGCCTGGTTTTGCTTTGATGAAAGATTATATTACTGATTTAATCTCCTTAGTAATAGTTGGTAAATTAATGATTCAGTCTTTGTAAAATGGAGTTTTCTTTCAAGAGTGTTGTAAATAGTTTGTATTATTTGATTTCACAATCCATTTATAGAGCAGAATTTCTAAGGAAAAACATGCATAGAAGAAGCAAGTTGCTTTGCCAAGCACAATACATACCAAAACAAAACATTCTATATGGATCTTGGTAGCATATAGTAAACATCTCACGAAAATTCCGAGGCAGGATTATAAATATTTATCACATAATTTCTCATGCATTGCTTTGTCTTCCTGAAGTTGCATTTCCTAACTTGAATTCTCGGAAATCAGGTGGAGTCCCAATGAGCTCATTCATTCCAGCTCACCACTTGTTCTCCATAATTGTACGTGTAATCTTAACCAACCATTCTTCTACAGATAATAATAATAGTTTTTGAACAACCAGACTTAGAAAATATATCAATTTTTCACATTGTCTGCTGTGAAGGTCAGGCTGTGTTCCGCTCTGAGTTACTCTATATTGTGCAGAATTTCAGCTTTCAGGTTGTGTTTATAATTTGACTTTTATTCCATTTTAAGTACAAAAGCCAAGATGGTATGTCTCCAGACTTTGTACAATGAACAATCACCATCTGTCCAGAAAAACCATGAGGTACAAACTAATAAATAACTTATTTATTCCAATAAGAAATTAACTTGCCAAATTAAGTCAGGAGCACATAGATGTGGATATATAATGCCATATTGGAAAAACCAGACTTAAGTTAATCAAACATATTGATGAAAGTCTCTCACTTGATCACCTCTTTGCAATGAACTTGCTCAGGATACTATCAAGTGAAGAACTTTCTCTTTTGTTTTTGTCCCTGGAGCACCTTCTTGTGCTCAACACGCATGCGCAGCTCACTTCAAACGGATACTTCAAAAACGGCTGCAGTCCAGACTCAGACTGCATTTGTCTTTTCCCTTTTCACCTGTCAGCTCTGTGCTCCTGCCTCCTCAGCTATGCCACCAGCTTCGAGTGTGTATGTGCCTTTTTGGTTTAAGTTCTCTGATCTTTGTCAACTTTGTAACAAGCAGCATTTATAGCATTCCCTTGACAAAATATATGGAGTTTGTGTCCCATACATTCTGCTATTGTGGACAGACACAAATATGCCTGGTATATGTAAATGCCATAGCTCAAGGATGATATGCCATAATATATTTGGGATAGACGAGAGATAGGTATGATAATTCATCTTTCAAAATATTTTATTTAGAAAACAGCTGTTTTCCTACATGTGTTAATGTAAGGTGAGTTAAACTTGATATAGCAATTTCTTTTCAATAATTTGGTGACATTTTAAAATATAAATGTTCAAATAAATTTATCTTTATTTTACAAATAGTTTGAGATAAGTTTACAGTTCCCAGACATATTTGTGACAGAAAATAGTAAAATTTACAACAGCCTACTGCATATAAAAAGAATTACATTTAAAGATATTTTGTCTTCTTTGTAGTCAGTTTAGTCATTATAATGTAAAAAAATACTTGAATAGTAGAGATAGATATGATTGATGTAATAAAAAGTACTTTCTGACCTAGTGTAATTTTAGTGTTCCAAACAACAATTCAAATTTTAACTGGCTCCATCCTGTTATGAGAATAGTGTTGCAAAATTGTATTAGACAAATCCACTTTCACAGAGGTCAAGTAGCCATGACATTATTAAGTAAAATCAATTTTGAGAGCTAAACTTTTGACTTAAAAAAAGAGAGTCATGTTATTTTAAATGACTTTAAAAAACAAGCAGTTTAAGGAAAGATTGTGGAATATCATTCTAGTTTACACATAAAGAAAATGTATTACTGTAGTGTAACATTTTAAATTAAATAAACGATAAGATAGCTAACAACATATTTGAAGGACATTCATGTAAACCAATTGGACAATAAATAGTCTTTAAAAAGGAAGCTACAGTCAATCACTTGAGAAACAAAATTTAAAATTTCAAAGATTTTAAATCATATCAAAACAAACATAATTCTTATATAGCCTGTAAATATTGCCAGTCTACATAAAAATATCAGTGCTAATGTTTAGAAAGTAGTTTGACTTTGGAGTTAATTTGAGTAGTAGTTTGATTCGTAGCTTGACTTTGGAGTCAATTGTGAATACAAAGTTAATCCTTATAATTACATCAGATTTTATCTGCTATTACTTCAAGGTTAACTTAACTTGAGAAAAATAAACTCCTATTCTTCTAGAAGTAGAACCAGGGTGTATTGAAATATATTATATCATCAAAGATAATATTTAGAAGATTGTGCAAGGCCAATAACTAGAAATGTAGGTCAGATTTATACTTATATTCTCAATATACTAGGTGGAGATAAATATGTTCAATATAGAAGTTTTGACAATTGCAACAATTAAATCAAGGCAATGAAAGGGTTCACAATCTCCACGTGTATTGACACAAGGCTTTTTTTGTTCCTAATAGCAGAAAACAACATGAGGTGAGCAATAAAGGTATGAGAATTCCAATAGCCCCCCCCACACACACATACACATCCCAGTCTCTTTCTTAAAATGTGAAGGTGTATTATCTTTAAGAACCAAAACTATTTGTGCAAAGAATCTTCATTTCAGGAAAGGTTAGGTGAAAATTACAGTGGTATTTTTCATTCCTTTGGTCATGCAAAATAAGCTCATTTTTTTTTTTTTTTTTGTACTGGTGATTGAACTCAGGACCTTGCACTTGCAAGGCAGCCATGATGCTGCTGAGCTAAATTCCCGACCCCAAATAAGCTCATTTGTGTGAACAGGTACAAATCATAAAACAATACATTTCAGTATAAGGCAGACATGCTAGGTCTGTTTCCAAAATGGCTTGATACTATATTTTTAAATAACAAGAGCACATTTTAATCAGTAATATACAAGTATAATGCAGGAAAATGTCCAGTATATGCTGTATTCAATTTTGTTTTCTACAGGAGTGACTCTTATAAAGGAAGAAAGAGGAAATAGGTAGGCAGAAGGTGAGTGGATACTCAACAGAGTCCATAACATCAAAAAAATTGCAAAGGAGTAGGAAGGGAGATTGGTCCATGTGAAATCTACCTGAGTTTTCAAATAGACACTTATGTAAGTGAGGCACCTATTGTCCTACCAGGGACCTTTCTTGAATTATTGACTGTAACAGACAGTAAATTATTTTTCAGCCTTGAATTTTCTCAGATGGGCATGGTGTTATTCAGGTCTTTATAGGCCAAGGCTGATGCTGGTTTGAGAAAAGGACTAGGCAGATCCTATTAACAGTTCCAGTCTTATTTGATCACCTTATATTTAGAACTTACTGAACCTATCTGTTGGTCATAGGGAATAGTTGATGGATATTAGAAATAATCAACATTTAACAATGTGCAAACAAGGGTCGTGGTTGGAGCAGATTAAAAACTTAGTTTTGAATCCAGAGAGCCATTAGTTCCTTTCAGCTCTAAATTCCTTTAGGTGGTGGGATGAGGACAGCAGACTTTATAGTTCATTGTCTGATGTTTCTGGAAATGGTGTAGATATTGGTGTCATGGCCACGGTTATTTCTCCCTGCATAGCATGGAAGGTGAAAGATTTCTGGTGAGCTTTCTGTAACACCTATGTATCAGTAGCTGAAAGCACAAAGGATAGATGTATATGATTTATATGTTCTTGTTTGCTTGGTTTTTTGACATTCTGAGGTAAAATATAGTCAGAAAATAACGTTAATCCTCAAATGGTTTTTCATTTCAGATTTTATTTGTTGGTAACACCAAGTCAGGAGGATGGAGAAAATATGAAAATACTAATGGGAAGACTTATAGCCACATATAAAAGAAAAATGCAAGATTTAGGATATTGTAAGATCTGATATAATGCAATAGGTTTCAGTTCAATATGCCTGTATATAATAAAGCTTTAAAGGTAATGATAACCCATAATTGTATGTGTAGTTTTCCACTGAAACAAAGTTTCTCTGTACTTTGCTTCCTATTTGGTCAAATATAATCAAAATATGTTTATTTTTTCTATACAGAAGAATTTTATTTCAATTAAGTTGGTCATATTAGTTACATAAATGCAGTAAGAGTAATTTTCCACACAAAAATTTTAATTTAGTTTCTTGAACTTTCTATAATGAATCTCACATTAAACATTTAAAAGCTTTTTGAGACTAAGAAACCAAACTAATAATTTGCCATCAGACTTCTTTATTAACTTCATATTTGTATGTATTATAAATTGTTATGTTCTCTAGGTTTCTAACATACTATGTTATCAAAAATAGTGAAAATTGGGCCAGGGATTTAGCTCAGTGGTTCCAGCGTCTGCCTCGCAAGAGCAAGGTACCGAGTTCGATCCCCAGTACCAAAAAAAAAAAAAGTGAAAATATCTTTAAAGTACCTAACATTTTAAATATTTGATAGATGCACTGTATTTATTTTGAGTATTTAACCAAAATGAAAAAAGAAGAATTTCAAATTAATATTGGAGATAACACAATGAAAAAATGAAAACACATAAACTAAGTTCTTTGAACATTAAGAAAACTTAATTTTTTAAAGAAAAATATGATGAAAACATGAAGCTTAAAATATTATTCTGATGAGAAGTGGAATCTTTTTGTTTCCTAGGGAGATTGCTCAACAATTAAATTAAAAATGATTTATAATCTCTTAATAAGAATGAACCAAAGATCCAAGAAATATTAACAAAGAAGAAACCAAATTTAATTTTGTATTACTACATTGTTAAGGTCATTTAAAAAAATCGTTCAAAGTAAATCATTTTTTTCTTAGTAGGCTGTAGCCTCATAACATAGAATTTCTTTTTCAAAAATTGTTCACAAACTTTCTGTATTGGATCAGATTGTTTGACTTATTCATCCTCTTTCTAATTTAGGTAAAAATTATTCTTCCTTGTTTCTTAATATAAATGCACACTATATTTTTGTGACATGCTTTGACTATGTATCATCAAAATATAAGTTCTGGAAACATAATCCTCTAATCTATATTGTATTTGGAGGTAAAGGTCCTTGATAATAATTAGAATTATATGAGATAATGAATGTTAGGCACCCTCATGATTAAGATCCCAAGCTAAGAATCTGACTTCAAAATGGGTTTATAAAAAGGAAAGCCTGGATATAGCTTGGTTTGTGTTGCCATGTGATGCTTTCTGTTATATTATGATACAGCCAGAAAGTTGTTAGTAGATGTACAACAGATGCAGAAACTATGATTTTGTATTGTCCAAGCACCAAGACCATAAGCTAGATAAACATCTACTCTTTATAATAGTCCTGTTAGGGTATTTTGTTACAGTGACAGAAAACAAAGTGTAACATTCTGCATACTTTCCATATACATAGACATCTTACTTTTTCAGATATTTTGTATACACAGGTGATTTCTTTCTCTCTTATTGTTTGTACTATGCCACATATTTCATCCTTGTTTTGGACAAGGATCACCAACAAATATTTAGCCTTCCCTAGAGGTAAGCACAGTTTTAAACTATTATAGTGATAACATAAACTTGTCTTAGAAACTAAGGGAAATATAATGGTTACAATCAATGAAGCATGCAATTAGTTTTATGTTATAAAATATGATTTAACATTAAGAAATAATGAACACATTTACCTATTTTGTCTTTTTAACCTTGAAACAATCCTTTAAACTATATAGCATCACTTTCTTAAACATAATGAAAAGATGACACTAATTTTGAAGACAAATAAGAGTAAATGTAGTTACAAATTTTCCCATCACAATATGACTCACCCCACTATTTCCACTCCCAGTTCAATTTATTATAAAAAATTTCTACTTACATTTTTTTCCTCAGATAAGACTGACATATTAGAGGAAAATATATACTATTATATGTGTATATGTTTTTATGATGTACAAATTTTAAACAAGTTGTAAGTTTTGAGATTTTGTTATTGTTTACATTTGTATATATACCTGTGAATATTTTGACATTTTGTTTTTCATTGCTTGAAGGCTTTCTCTGCACCTATCACTTACCTGAAGTCTTTTGCTATCCTCATGAACAAACTTTTACAGTTTATTTGGAAATTAATGTATTTATATGTCCAAGCTCTGTCATGCTTCATTTTTCTCATCCTTTTAGTTTGCTCTCTTTTCTAAAGTGTGACTTTACTGCTTTTTCCTACATTATCAGCAAAAGCTTTTATCTACAATTGGCTGTAAGAAAGAGAAATTAACAGTATATTTTTCACTCAGTCAAAAAGTATATCTATGGCATGGGATTTAGCTCCGTGGTTCTGGTGCCTGCCTTGCAAGCACAAGGTTCCGAGTTTGATCCCCAGTACAAAAAAAAAAAAGTGTATCTATTCTGTATGATCTATGGAGTTTCCAGCTGCTCCCATCTACCTTATGATATTGCAGGGAAATACAATTCTGGAGCAGCACAATTAAAACATTTCTTGTGGTGAGCAGATAGCTCAGTAATAGAACACTTGCCTATTATGTGTGATCTATTACAAAACAAAACAAAAACAAAGGAAACATTTTTTCAACATAATTTTCAGTACTCCATGAATGTAGTTACACTTACATGTAATTTAATTACTCAATATAATGGAATAAACAATCATTTGAAATAATATTTTGCTATTTATATCTAAATTATTCATCTTTTAAAACATTTGATTTACTTACCTTGGCTATAAAATGAGTGACCTGAATTCATTCTGCAGCAATACAAATATAAATTAAAGCACATTAATATATAAATATATATATATATATATATATATATAGTGACAAATTTTCCAGAAAGTATATTTCAAAATAAGTCTGTAGATACATTGATTTTAGGTACGCTGTCATATTCAGCAATATAGTCTTCTTTGTGTTTGAGGGGGAGAATAATCAAATACCTCTAGAAGAATATAAAATTTATTAAAATGTAGCCTTCAAAATCAGTAGTACAAAAGCTAATTTGGTATATATATTTATCGATTTAATTCATGAAGATCAAATATTTTATAACACAATCAGAAAGTGACATTTATGGATAAATTTATGAGTCATGGTTCAGCTATAAATTATGATTCAGTTTCAGGATTACAGAGAAATAAATCTCTAAATAAATGTATAGTGAAACAATGGGTTGCAACTGTCTTATTTTGTGAGTGTTCTGCAAGATGAATAAACATTTCTCATAAAGTTTAACTTGCTTAACAAATGATGTCTTGCAATACAACTTAAATGTGAGGTCTAACATCATCACACGATCACAACTGAGCCAATGGTTCCTCTCTCTCTCTTTCTCTCTCTCTCTCTCTCTCTCCCTCTTGGATTGTGGGTGATCATTTCCCAACAGGAAGAGGTTATGGAGATCTCACCTGCAGAGGAAGATGATAAAAAGGCAGAGGAATCCCTCACTTTAAACGAAATGAAGGAAATGTGTAAAATGTGGGAAACAGTGAAAATTTTATAGACAAGCACCACCTAAATAAGGCTGTAACAGTGTGAGTGAGGAATCTGTTTAACGATGATGCAGTGTCACATTTCCACATAATTCTCAAAAGAAGGAAGAAGCAATGGTAACTGGATAGGTTCCTTATTAAAGCTGTATGAAAGGAAAAAGTTTCCGTTCAGCCAATAGATAGTGTTCCGGAAATCACAGAAAGAAATACATGGAGACAAAGAATTTAGGTGAAATAATAAAAGTTTACTTGCAAGCATGCAGGACCACCAGAAATTGGTCTGGTCAGTGTCCACGCAGAAGTTTGTTCAGTTTCTCCTTTTGTTCCCTTTTTAGTCATTCGTTCATCCCTAGTGGTCTCTGTTGAGTAAGTAAAAAGTTCCAGTTCCTGTTTAATGGTTCAACACAGGTGATTTATGTTAATGATTTCAGCCATAAACTCGTGACAGTTAAAACACATATATTACAAATTTGCCTAAGCATTGCAACTTTGTTCTTCAGAGTTAAGATGTTATCTACAGTAAAGCTACAGATCAAAGAGCCAGATGGACATCACCTCAAACAACAAGAGTGGTTGGAAAAGCAAATCTTAAAAGGATACATTACCTATTTTGCCTCTACATTTATTTTCATGTTTAATCCATTAAGTTGTCTAAAACTTTTCCCTATCATTAGCTGTGATTCTTTTAGTAATAGTGAAAGTCATACTACACAATAACCCAACTCTCTCTTTTTTTTGTCACACCAGCTAAAAAAGTTTTCCAAGGTAATTCGAGGTTACTTTATTTTTCTTTATATTTTTGTTTGTTTTATTTTTTGTATTATATTATAGTATTATAATCATTTTGATATGAATATTTTTGCCTTGTGGAACAAATTATCTGAGGTTTCATTATTTCTTATGGGGAAATTTGCTTTTATATACAGGTGCTTTCACAACTGCTTTCAATTACAAACATGGTTCCAAAATGAATTATGATCATAAACCAAGGTTTTATTTTATCGGGAAATACAAAACCCAACCGAAACCAAACCAAACCTAACCAAACAAAGCAACATGGAAATTCCATTTTACAAAGTCAGAATTGATATTATGAAGGAAATAAAGAATAACAAGTGCTTGTAATGTTATGAGGTAAAAGAACCTTTATACACTGTTTGAATGAAAGAAATTTGCATAGTCAGTATGAAAAACAGCAGGAGTGTGCCTTGGAATCTAAAAGTAGAGCTACAATATGATCCAGCACTCTTGGACTTAAAGTCAACATACATTAAGGATACCGACACACCTCTGTTGCTCATGACAATATTTAAAATAACCAAGTCATGGAATAAGCTAGATATTCGTTGATGGATGAATGGATAAAGAAAATTATATATACAACATGATAAGCAACATAAGCCAGATTCAGAGGGATTATGGGAATTTTCTGCCATATATGGAATTTAAAAATATG